ATACTCACATGGGAAACACGATTTCAACACCAATACCAGCAATAATTCTACGAATACGAATGGTAGTGTGTATGCCTGCATTTTGTCTCGACATCACTATGCCTTTGTGGATAGATAGCCTACGTCTGTTCTCAGGAACTTCCTGCAAAGTGAAACATCAAAACTTGGATTCGATGCATAAACATATAAAGGCTTCCAAAAACATCAAGAACTTACCAATTTGATTTCTACAATATCTCCTGTCCTGAGTTCTGGAACAGGTCTCATTTTCTCTGAAACCTCAATTGCTCTCTGGTTCAATATCTACACACAAACAACACAATGAATCTCCCCAATGCATCTAAGATAACTAGTGATCAACAAAGCAAAGTTCCTATTTTCACTTTACCCCCATATATCTCCGAGCTTGATCCTCGGTTTCCTTGGAGATTTGGCTTCACCAGATTCGACCACCTCTTCTTCTTCTGTATCAACAGATTCAGCTTCCGTGTTGTTATCTTCTGCTCTAACGATAAACTCCCGTCTCACCTTCGTATCGAGTGAGAAGCCAAATTTCGAGCCGGGTTGATTCAGAGAAAGCCTAGAAACTGAGAGACGAGAATTCATCGAAGGTGCGCATGATAGAAATGAAGAAACCCCTAAATTCTTCGATGATTGCTTAGTAGGGTTTCTCGATATTGTTGATCCAAGCAGGTCGACAATGAATTTATAATAGATCAGAGGTCGGAGATCCTCGTATATAGAAAGTTAAGTCGAAGAGGTTTAAATACANGTAGATCGCTAAAGATAGTCCGGACAGATCCCGTGCTATCAGTTCGCTAGTTAAGAGATCGTGGCAGATCGGACAGACTCCGAACTGCTAGACTTTCGGTAAAAAGTAGGATTTAGAAAGCTCGCGAGTGGCTGGGTTTGCACTTCTTTTTTGGTCGTTTCCCCCCCCCCCTTACACCACCCTTTGACCTCTATTTATAGTGAAGGGCGGTGGGTTTAACCTGAGTTCAGCTGACCATGGTTGATCTCATATACCCCTGTTTTGACCAAGCTCAGTTCGGATATGCCTTAAATGTGATCAGACCGTGGTTAACAGTTGGAGTGGGCCTCTGGCAGCCGCTGGGCTTCTCCCGAACTCGTTGGGCCTCTGCCTCCTTTGGTGATTTGCGACTTGCGATCTGCTCAGAATGTTGGGCCGCAGGTCCGGGCCCAACAGTAGCCCCCCCCCAGTCAACGAAACGAGGCGGTCTGAGCTTTGTTGATTTT